GGGCCTCAGGAAGGTCCCCCAAACGAGCATCTGAAACATCTGCTGCGACTGCGACTGCGACCTGCGTAGAACGCCGCGATGGCGCTGCAGGGTGGGGCAGAACCGCCCACAAAACGACTGTACAGCATGGGCTCGTTTCGGTAATGTTGGATTTGACAATATCGCCCTCTTTCTCGGCCAAAGCGTGAGTGCAGGCAAATAGACATCATACACCTCAGCATTGACTTGGACGCCTGAGATGGGTAGATAACGACGCCCAACAACAAATGCTGTCCAAAGCCGACAGCGGTCGCTGTTTGGCAGGCGCCCTCGTCTCACATGGACAACGTCCGCGGCGACACCGACAGCTCGGTCTCTTCAAAATGAGCAGGAAATTATGTTGGTCTTCGTACACGAAGCCAGGACGAGGATGTCTCGGGCGCCGCGGCCTTCTCAGAGCATTCCAGAACGCTGAGCGTGATGGAACGCCCTGGAACGGATGTAGTTATCCTCGTCCTAGACCCGTCCGAGACGTCGTGATTCTTATGCAACGTGGACCCTCTGAAACCTCGACCCCTTTACCAAGGCCCGCTCTTCCTCCCGCGCCACTCTTGACGGTCCTGGGGCCCAGCAAAGGCACCCGAGGCCGGCAAAGACACGACACGTTCTGCCGTGATTTTTGCTCCGCCGTTCCCCCGTCCGAACCCATTCTTTCCGCACCCACCTCGATCGTACCGAATCGATGAGGGGGAAGCCAATCGGTAACGCTCTGACCCGGGTCAATGCAAACTCAGGTCAGTCAGGCTTTGCAAAGACCTGCAATATCCTGCAGGATCCTGCACGCAAGCCCGGGTCAGTGCACCCCTGGCTCTGCAATATCCTGCAATATCCAGCGCTCTGACTAGCCCCCGTTTGCATTCTGGACGCCTGGAATGGTTAGTTACGGACAGAACGGGTACGATGCCCAATAACAACTATTGTTCAAAGCCGACAGCGGCCGCTGTTGGGCAGGCGGCCTTCTGTCCTCAATGGGCCAGGCCTGCGGCGGTACCGACAGCGAATCCTGCTTCAAACGAACAGGAATTACTGTCGGTCTTTGTGCCCATTCTTTCCGGACCCGCCTTCCAACGCCCCGAGCATGGACCCCCGTCCCTCACATCTCGAGGCCCAAGAGCCCAGAGTCGCCGGGTCGGGAGGGAGACGGCAGGCTAGCGATGGGGAAGCCTTCTTAGAAGGCGGCTGCTTCTTAGAAGGTGCGGGCCTTGTCTGCAGATGCAAGGCCCGCGCCTTCCAGGAAGCAGCCTCCTTCTAAGGTGCCTCCCCCCTCCCCCGACCGCCCTCTGCGCGTGGCCGACGGGGGCGCCAGGAGCCCACGAGTCGCCCCGTCGGGCGGGAGACGGCAGGCCAGAGTGGGGGGGGCTTCTCAGAAGCCTTCCCCCCCCTCCCCCCCCCCTACAGTGGAGGGCCCGACCACGAGGAACCTTCCCCCCAAAAAATCAATCCCGAGACCCCGGGACGGCCCTCGACTCCTGAAGGGAGGCGCCGCGCTCTCCACGGCAGAGCCATCGAGGCCCAGAGAAACCCCCGGGGCACCCCGGAGGCGAGCGGGGCGCCTCTCTCTCGGCAGAGGGCCCCCGCCCTGCCGCCCTCTGCGCCTGGCCGCGCGAGGGGGGGGCACCACAGCCGCCCGCGAGCCGCCCGGTCGGAGAGGGAGGCGGCGGGCCAGAGAGGCCGCCCGCGGGCGGCGAGCCACGGGCCGCCGCGCAGCGGGCGGCCCAGCGCCGAGCGGGATGGGGGGGGGGGTGCCCGAGAGGCCGAGGGGCGGAGGCGGGGGCGGTCCGAGGCGGTCGAGGGAGGCGGGGATGGGGAGGAGGCGGGGAGGGGGCGGGGAGGGGAGGGGGGGGACCTGGCCCTGCCACCACCCAGGCGGGGAGGAGGGGATGAGGCGGGGAGGAGGCGGGGGCGGGGGCGATGCAAGACGCCAAAGATGGCCTCCAGGCGGCCCGAGGCGCCTTCAGGACGCCCCTGAGAGGCCTCCGAGAGACCTCCCAGGAAACATCAGTGAGTTTCTGTAAATTCTTGAAGGGTTTGCCGTTCTCGCCTTTTCGGCTTCCAGGCGCTCCAAGATGGCCCAAGAGGCTTCCAGGATCGCCCCAACACGGCCCACCAAGAGCGCTCAAAACGGCCTCAGAGGGTCCCAAGACAGCCCCAGAGCTCTCCAGGATGGACGAAGAGGCTCCAAAGACTGCTCCAAGAGCGGGCCCAGACAGGGGACTCGAACGGACATTTTGAGCTCTAGGGACAGAGAGGTCCTCTGGAGGCTCCAAATTACCCCCAAGAGGCCCCCAAGAACCCCCCGTGACGCCCCCGAGAGGCCTCCTATCGTCTCACCAACCCTTCCTTCTTTCCTCTCCTCCTTCTCCCCCCTCTGCGTCAACGACCCTTAACCCTCGAACGGAAAGCGCTACACTAAATCATCAAGGGACCAATCGAGAGGCCTCCTCATCCTCATCCCCCCCTCTTCCTCCTCCTCCTCCTCCTCCTCCTCCTCCTCCTTTTCGCTCGCCACGAACACACAAACACATAGCACCAGTGATGCAAGATGGGTCGGCGGAATGAGCGAAGCGATTGATAATGATTCCCCGCTCGCGCGACCAACATGTACGACTAGTAAGGATTGACGGCAAGAACGCAAGAGCCTTGAACGCCGAAGATGTGGAATAGTATGATGACCATGATAGCTAACTCTATTACTGTGGCGCTGAATATCTGTCCTCCTCCTCCCTGTCCTCCTCCTCCTCCTCTCCTCCTCAGGGTGCCAGGATAATGCTTCGGGGTGCTAGATGTGTTATCGGTTCACCAGAAGGGGAGGGTCATATCTTGATCGCTTCATGAGGCTATGAGGTTCTAGATGCCGCATTTCTCTGCGGTCTTTCACTTTCTATATCTTTTCGGTCTGTCTTTATGTGCATATGTGTATAACGATATACGCCGTCAACTCGCTATGCTCCCGTGCCATACATCTATATATACACATACATCAACCTATACAGGCAGACAGGCAGGCATACATACATGCAAGTATACATACACATACATTTATTTATATGTATATATATATGTCAACTGATCAACTACTTTGTCTTTTGTCTTTTCTGCTATCTGATGTGTGGTGTGCACTCCATTCTTTCTACTAAATCATTCTGAGCGTGATCAGAAGGACCAAAGCACTTGGCCAAAACCAAAACTCCGAAAACCCGGAAACCTTACAACGCTGGGAACTCCGGACCCAAAACAAAAAACAAACGAACCTGGCTGCCCACCGTAATCGGCTCAGAAACCAGAACCGGGAACCTGGGACCTGGACCCCAGGAGCCCGGCCGCCTATGGACATCGGCGCTGTACATTCGCCTTCTCTTCCAATCGTTGCTAGTACCCCTTCAGCGTAAGCACTGACTGGGGAACCACGGCCAGTGCGAAGCGCCCGAGCTTGGCGGCGCGCACAGGGGGGTATGGGGGAGGAGGGCAGTCTCCTTGGAGGGCGGCTGCTTCTCAGAAGGCGCCAGCCCTGCCCCTGGAGACAAGGCCCGCGCCTTCGAAGAAGCAGGGGTGCTTCTAAGATCAAGGGGCCCGAGGACACACAAATAAACACACACACAAATAACAGGATTCCCAATCTTTTCCCATATTTTCTGGGTTTCTTTCTGTCTTCCCCCCCACTTCCCATTTTGTCCTATATTTTCCGGGGGAGTCGACGATGAATTGTGTCTGTGTGTTTCTTCCCTCCTGATAAGAAGCCTTCCCCCCTCCCCCCTGCCCCTCTCCGCCCGTGGCCGTCTCTCAGGGCCGCATCCATCAGGGAACTGCTCCGGCTGCAGAGGGGCGATAGCCTGCTGCCACCTCCTCTTCCTCCTCCTCTTTCTCCTCTTCCCCCTCCTCTTCCTCCTCCCCCTCCTCCTCCCCCCCTCCTCCTCCTCCTCCTCCTCCTCCTCCTCCTCCTCCTCCTCCTCCTCCTCCTCCTCCTCGCCTGGATCAGCTGCGGCTCGGGCGCGCTGGGGAGGGGCGCGCACCCAGGCCTCCCAGTGTGGAGAGCGGCGGTCCCAGACAAGGAGCATGACGAGGAGGGAGGCGAAGGAGCAGCGGGCACCGCTGGCTTCTCTTTTCGGTGCCACCTCGTGTCGTCTCCTCCTCGTCCCGCTCCTCCTCTTCCTCCGCCGCCTCCTCCTCGTCCTCCTCTGCCTTCTCCGCCTCCGCCTTCCTCCTCGGCTTTCTCCTCCTCCCCTCCCCCTCATCTTCGTCCTCGTCCTGCCTCATCACCGAGCCCCCGAGGGTGGGAGCAGGGAGGAGGCAGGGCGAGGGGAGGACCTCTCCAAAAAAGCTGCCTCCTGCGGGGCGAGCCTTCCGTGGAGGGACAAAACGGTATCGCTACTGCCGCTCCCTGGCTCCCGGGACCTCTCCCTGGGCGCGTTCCGACCAGAGTTTCGAGGCGAAGCCAGCGGTGGCGACGAGGGCCTCCCAGTAGGCCGAAAGAGACGGAACCGAGGCGCAAGGGTAGCGGTACGGGTACCCTTTCTCGGCGGCGAGCCCAGAGGGGGAAATGACAGGGGGGTGGGCGTTCTCAGAGGTCTCGAAGTCCCCTGGCCGCCTCACAAGTTTTCGAAACGTTCCCCGAAGACGCAGAACACTTCTCAAAGGGCCGCCTTCCGAGAAGGCCTCCTCCTCCTCGCTCCGCCCCCCTCATTCGCTGCCGAGGGTGGCGGTATGGGTGCCTCCTTCTCCTCCTCCTCTTCCTCGTCGTCGTCGTCGTCGTCCTCCTCCTCCTCTGCAGAGGGCCGCCTCTTTTAGGCACCCCCTTGTGTCGTCTCCTCCTCCGTCTCCTCCTCCACCTCCTCCTCCTCCTCCTCCGTCTCCTCCTCCACCTCCTCCTCCTCCTCCTCCTCCTCCCCCTCCCCTCCCTCCTCCTCCTCCTCCTCCTCCTCCTCCTCCTCCTCCTCCTCCTCCTCCTCCTCCTCCTCCTCCTC